CCAGCGGCACCAGCTCTGTGGCAGCTCCATCTCCGGGCCTGGAAGTAACCCAGGTGCCTCGGGGCCCAGCAGGAAGGGGACAGGGACAAAGTGTTGTTTAACTGGGCAGGGTGGTGAAGGAGAGTGAAGAAGAGGGTGTCTCAGGCGGAAAGGTCATTCATCGCTTAGGGCTTGTGCTGGGAAAGGCAGGGCTGAGCCCGGGGGAAGAGATCCTGAAAGTCAGGGGTCAGTGGCACAAACCGTCCGCCGCCGTCTCTGGGACCTTGGAGCTTGGAAACGCCAGGGCTTGTAAATACTGCCACCTCGTGTTCACGTTGGGAACTGCAGGCACTCTACCTGCGCAGCCCGGTTTCTACCTACTGAGCGCCAGGCCCTCCTCAAAGAGTTGACGATGCGTAATGAACAAAAACAGACAAAATCCTTGCTCTTCTGGAGATTTCAGGCTAAAGGATGGAGATCTCGCGGTTCCATTCATGAAATCAATCTCCTCTTCACTCTCAGTTTTCGCTTTTCTCTCTATGTCTTATGGGTGCTGTTTCTCTCCCTTCCTTCTTTCCTTCTTTTTCTTCCTTCCTTCCTTTCTTTTTAATTAATAAGCTATATATGTATATATATATATATATATATATTGCAGACACTTGCAGAGTGTTCATTCCCATTGCCGTGTAGTACTCCATTATGCACACAGGCCACACGTTTATTCATCCACCCCGCTGTTGATTGGTACTTGCGCTGCTTCTGCTTTGTGACTATTATAAATTGTTCTGCTAGGAATATTCTGGTACATGTCCTTTGGGAAAATGTATACACTAATTTCTGCTGGGAGCTCTATCCAGGAGTGGAAATGCTGGGTCGCAGTGTGGGTGTAGAGTCTGGTTTAGGAAGGTAATGAAAGATAGCTTTTCAAAGTGGTTGTTCTATTTTACGCACATACTACCTAGATGTGAGAATCCCAGTAGCGCCACACCCTTGCCAACAGATGAAGCTTTTTATTTTACTTTTAATTAAATTGTTTAGAGAGACAGGGTCTTGCTACCTTGTGCAGGCTGATCTCAAACTCCTGGGCTAAAGTGATCCTTCCGCCTCTGCCTCCCAAATTGCTGGGGTTACAGGTGTGAGCCACTGCTCCCAGCAGGTGAAGCTTTTATTAGGTGAGCACAAAAGTAATTGCGGTTTTTGCATTGTTGGAATTTGCCATTTGATATTAGAATACATTCTTAAATAAATGTGGTTATGTTATACATTATCATTATTATTATTTTGAGACAGAGTTTTACTCTGTTGCCCAGGCTGGAGTGTAGTGGCACGATCTTGGCTCACTGCAACCTCCACCTCCCAGGTTCAGGTGATTCTCCTGCCTCAGCCTCTCAAGTAGCTGGGATCACAGGTGCACACCACCATGCCTGGCTAATTTTTGTATTTTTAGTAGGGACAGGGTTTCTCGACCAGCCAGGTTGGTCTCGAACTCCTGGCCTCAAGTGATCTGCCCTCCTCGACTTCCCAAAGTGCTGGGATTACAGTTGTGAGCCACCATACCTGGCCTGTTATACATTGTTTTAATGGACATTGTTTGCTTTATGTTTTTTTGCTAATGACTTATTACTGTTTATTTTTCTTTTAGACTATTGAAATGATATTAGACAAGCAAATTAGAACGACTTTCTTGAATTCAAAATGGGTCATAATGCAGAGTTTGTTGCATCCCGAAGCACGAACTTTTACACTACAGGAATAAACAAACTTATTTCTTGTTGGCAAAAATGTGTTGATTGTAATGGTTCCTATTTTGATTAAGATGTGTTTGGGCCTAGTTATAATGATTTAGAATTCACAATCCGGGCTGGGCGTGGTGGCTCACGCCTGTAATCCCAGCACTTTGGGAGGCCGAGGAGGGTGGATCACCTGAGGTCAGACCAGCCTGACCAATATGGTGAAATTCCGCCTCTACTAAAAATACAAAAATTAGCCAGGCATCATGGCATGCACCTGTAGTCCCAGCTACTTGGGAGGCTGAGACAGGAAAATTGCTTGAACTTGGGAGGCGAAGACTGCAGTGAGCTGAGATCATGCTACTGCACTCCAGCCTGGGCAACAGAGCGAGACTCCGTCTCAAAAATAAATAAATAAAATAAAATAAAATAAAATTCATTCATGGTCCCAAACCATAATTACTTTTGAAAATCTTCTCCCTCTCTACTAAGCACTCAGGAAGGCATCTGGGTCGCGATATCCAAGCAGCTAAGCAGCTACATAGCTGAGTCCACAGTTCCACTTGGACTCCCCAGACTATGAGTTCTAAGGCAGTCGGTGCACACCTGTTCTACTTAGAGCTGTCAAGTATAAGCTTTCCGAAGTTTTTATCAGTCTCATGGCAAAGTACTGCCAATTGCTCATGTATTTCATCCCACAGGAGTCTTTGGACACCCCACTCCAGGGAGAATCTTCTGTCTCAGAAATACAGTCATACACTGCCTAACAACCCTTCAGCCAACAGCGGAGTGCCTTTATCATCACTGCAGTGCCATAAGATTATAAAGAAGCTGGCAAGGCGCAGTGGTTCATACCTGTAATCCCAGCACTTTGGGAGGCTGAGGCAGGTGGATCACTTGAGGTCAGGAGTTTGAGACCAGCTTGGCCAACATGGTGAAACCCCGTCTCTACTGAAAATGAAAAAACTAGCTGGGTGTGGTGGCAGGTGCCTGTAATCCCAGCTACTCAAGAGGCTGAGGCATGACAATCATTTAAAGCTGGGAAATGGAGTTTGCAGTGAGCCAAGATTGCACCACTGCACTCCAGCCTGGGCAACTCAGTCTCAAAAAAAAAAAAAAAAAATTACAATGAAGCTGAAAAATCCCCCCTTTTTTTTACCCCGTTCCTCAGACTGAAACCTCTTTACCCCATTCCTGAGGCCGAAGCCTATTTACCCCGTTCCTCAGGCTGAAACCTAGGAGTCATCTCAAGTCCTTTTATTCCCTCATACTCCTCAACCAATATATCAGCAAGTCCTGTCTTCTCTACTAATAAAATCTATTCCTTGCAGCCCGTTAAGGAACAGCTAAATTTTAAAAAGAAATCGATTCATTTTCCCATTCCTTGCACTACCTCTGCTGTCATGGGTACATCAGCTCTTGCCTAGACAGGTGAAGTAGCCACCTCGCAGGTCTAGCTCCCGTTCCTGCCGCAGGGAAGATTTTAACATGTAAAGCATGTACACAAGAGCACGTGCTGTAGGAGTCCATTCATATGAAGTTTAAAATTAAGCAAAATTGATCTATGATAGAAGCCGTGTTATCTTCGGGGTGGGAAACTGACTCTGAAGGGTTATGAGGGAGGCTTTGGGGATATGGGCTGGAAATAGTCTACCTCTTGACCTAGGTGGAGGTTATCCACGTATGTACATATGAAAAAAATTGCAATTTATGCATCTTATTGTACGTATTTTATACCTCAATGAAAATGTTATATATATTACATGTAATTATATGTGCATATAATTATATGCACATATAACATATATATACCTATATATGATTATGGCAGCCTTCTACTTCTCCAACACATTCGCTCTTTTTTTGAGACAGAGTCTCGCTCTGTCACCCAGGCTGGAGTGCAATGGCATGATCTCACCTCACTGCAACCTCTGCCTCCCGGGTTCAAGCGATTCTCCTGCCTCAGCCTCCCAAGTAGCTGGAATTACAGGCACCTGCCACCATGCCTGGCTAAGTTTTGTATTTTTAGTAGAGACAGGGTTTCACCACGTTGGCCAGGCTAGTCTCCAACTCGTGACCTCAGGTGATCTGCCTGCCCCAGCCTCCCAAAGTGCTGGGATTACAGGTGTGAGCCGCCACGCCAGCGCCAACACATTCTATATTAATCTAGGATCAATCAGAGAAACAGAACCAGTAGATGATCTATAATACAAGATTTATTGCAAAGAACTGGCTTATGTGGCCTGGCTAGGCAGGTCAGAAAGAGCAAGCCGGAATCTCAGGTATGGGCTGAAGCGGCTGTCCATAGATGCAATGTTTTCTTCCTCAGAGAAGCCGCATCTCTGCTTCTAAGGCCTTTCAGCTGATTGAGTCAGGGCCACTCAAATTGTCTAGGACAATCTCCCTTCCTCAAAGTCAACTGATTATGGACTTTAATCACATCTACAAAATACCCTCACATCAACACACTGATTAGTGTTTGATTGAATAACTGGAACTGTCCCATAGGAAAATTGACACATCAAACTGGCCATCCCAATTCCAGACCACCTTTGCAATAAAATTCAAAATCTGGCTGAGCATGGTGGCTGACATCTGCAATCTCAGGACTTTGGGAGGCTGAGGCAGGAGGATCACTCAAGCTCAGGAGTTTGAAACTAGCCTGGGAAGCGTAGTGGGGCCCCATCTCCATAAAAAATACAAAAATTAACAGGGTGTGGTGGTGCACACCCATAGTCCCAGCTACTTGGGAGGCTGAGTTGGGGGTTTGCTTGAGTCTGGGAGACTGAGGCTACAGTGAGCTGATTGTGCCACTGCACTCCAGCCTGGGTGACAGAGTGAGACCCTGTCTCTCATAAAAACACAATCTCCAAAGTTTGCTTTGGATTGCCAGCCCATCAAAAAGGCTAGTTCCTTGAAGGTGGGAATTTTTGCCATTTTTGTTCCCTGTCATATGCACAACAACTGGAACAGCACCTTGCACACAGTAGGTGCTCAGTAAATGTGAAGGATGAATGAAAACATCCAGCTTCCCCTTGTATGTCAGGGTGTAAAGACACCTGAAGCTCTTCTCACATCGGCCTTACAGGAGCATAGGAGCATCTCTGAATTGCCCACCCCCCACCTTTCTCACAAGGCTGCTTGCTGACATGGAGAAGATACGGGGGTCCACTCTTGCTAAGCACTTACTCTGAAAATCACACTCTCACTGTGCCTTGGGTATCTTGTATGCAAAACAGGAATGTGTCTTAGTCCCTTCAGGCTGCTGTAACAAAATACCATAGATGCATGGCTTATATACAACAGAAATTTATTTTTCACAGTTCTGGAGTCTGGAGAGTCTGCAGTCGATGCACCAGCAGATTCCATGGCTAGTGAGGACTCGCTTTCTTGTTTATAGATGACACCTGCTGGCTGTGTTCTCATGCGCTGGAAGTGGCAAGGCAGCTCTCTGGAGCCTCTTTTATAAGGGCACTAATCCTATTCATGGGGGCTCCACCCTCATGACCTTACCACCTCCCAAGGCCCCACCTCCCACTACCATCACTTTGGTGATTAGGTTTCAAAAGATGAATTTTGAGGAGACACAAACATTGAGACGATAGCAGGATACAACTTACTTTTTTGCTTCCCTCACTGAGTTACTGTAAAGATCAAGTGACAAAAAGCATGTGAAAGAACATGGTAAAGCATGTGGACAGAGAACATGCTGAAGGATCCCATCTCTATGAAGTTTATGCACTTATGAGAGTGTCCTGCACACCCTGTGTTCCTTCCTCCCTCAGACCTTTGTCCAGGCTGTCTCTTCTACCTAGAATGCCCTTCTTCCTGCTTCTTTTTGCCAGCTACTGTTGTTCCTTTAGGATTTTGCTCAAGGGTTAATTTCTCCAGGAAGTCTTCCCTGATCTTCACAGCTTGGAGAATTTCATCTCACTGAACTTTGCCTTGTGTATTTTTCTGTGAAGTTAATCAGCACTCATGTGTTTGGGAGAGGAGGTTGCCTAGGGGTTCATGGGGCTGGGAGTCTGGTTCCTGATTCACCACTCACTAGATACACAAGCTCAACCAAGTTTACCTCTCAGTTTGCTGATCTGTGACTTAAGGCCTGTGACAGTAGCGTACTTATACTGGGCCACTGCTGTGTCCCAAGAGTAAAGATTCATCTCGTTAAATCCTCACCACAACCACTGTGAAACAGTTCTTGTCATCATTATAAAGTTTATTTTCACCTCCACCTTATAGGTGAGAAAATATTGGCACAGAGAGCTCAAGTAACTCACCCATGGTCTCTGCAGGCAGAATGGTGGCGCTGGGATTTGAACCCATGCAGCTGAGCTCCAGAGCCTGGCCTACTAACTGTTAAGGCATACTGCATATTGGGCCTCTCTTGGGCCACACCAATAAATACATCATTGTATAGCTCCCTCCTAGAATTGCGACAGGCTCTGGAGGGACAGCACAGGAAGCCATGTTACGGGGTGCCTGGTGCCTGGCTGGTGCTTAGTGGGTAATAGCTGTGATCGGAATTGCTCTTCATCAGGGCAGGACGTGGCTGTTTCATCCTCCCCTGGGATGCTGGTGATTGTGTCCAGTTCCCTCCAGTCCTGTTGACCAGGTTGGGGGGCAGGAGGGAGGGAGAGATGGAGGGCTAGAGGGACAGGAGTGCAATTCTGGTTTTAACATCGTTTTCCAGTGAGCTACGTGTTAGGGGCCGAAGCAGCAAGAAGAAGGTGAGTGAATCCTGCCCCTAGCATCCTGGAGGGGCTGTCTATGCCAAGAGCCTCACCAGCAGGAGGACTGGGAGGAGCAGGGCCAGGACCTGCAGTGCTAGGGGAGGGGTGGTGGCTGAAGCACTGTTGAAGGGCTGGATCACGGATTCTGTGTTGCAGAGGTGCCCCTCACAGCAGGAGCCCTGGAGGTCGATGGTTGTCCAGGGGCTGGTGGTGCCCATGGTGGTGCAGGAGGGCCGGTGGCAGGTTCTGATGTACACAGGAACTGAGAAATTGCCTGGGGGTGGGCAGAGCAGTGAGGAAGGGTCAGAACTGAGGGAGACAGCTGCACCTGAACCTCCACCTTGGTGGCCAGGGCCAGGCCTCGGTCCTCAGACTTGCTTCAGGTTTTCCTCCTTAGACCAGAGCCATGCCTCACCCCTCAGACCACGGCCATGCCTCCCCCTTCAGACCAGGACCATGCCTCCTCCCTCAGACCAGGGCCACGCCTCCTCCCTCAGACCAGAGCCATCCCACCTCCCTCAGACCAGGGTCATGTCTTCTCCCTCAGACCAGAGCCATGCCTCCTCCCTCAGACCAGGACCATGCCTCCCCACTCAGAGCTGGGCCATGTCTCCTCTCCCTGTTGGGCCGGTCTGGCGACAGGACCCTCATGGCTGCCCTGCCTCCACATCCGTTGCCCAGGCCCTTCCACCCTTCCAGTTCTCTCACCGACTGTCATTCTGCCATTGCCCTGGAAGCAGGAGGTCTGGTCCTGGTGACACTGGACCCGTCGGGACCTGCCGATAGCGCAGTCTTCCTGGTGAACCCCGATACAGGCATAGCACTCGGTGCCGCTGAGCGTCGGTGGGTCGGGCGCTGGCAAGAGACCACAGATGCACACTCAGGCAGTGGTAACTGGGTACAGTCGTGCGGGTTGCGCACTGCGCCAGGGCTCGGGCCTATAGTCCAGGGTGCTGAGATCCTAGCGCGCCCAGAGAAGGCGCTAAGCAGAGGCCACGCCTTCCCCGGGGCTGCCCGGCCTCTCGCCGTGCCTCCCCGAGCCCAGCCCCGCCCTCCCGCGCACCTTGGCTCAGGTTGGGGAGGGCATCATGCGTCATGAGGTGGGCGTTGCACGTGTCAGTGGTGCAGCCGCGCACCACCGAGTAGTCGGGCGGCAGCGCGTCCTGGTTCGATTGCATCCGGCCGGTAGGCGGCCCCGTCCAGCAGCCCTTCTGCACCAGGGTCACCGGCGCGCGATACCCTGGGGGCGGGAGCGGGGCTCGTGCTCTGCTTCCCGAAACCCTTCGCCCTCCAGCCTCAGCGTTCTTCCTCCTTCCACTCTTTCGCTTTCACCTACGCCTCCTCCCCTCCCTCCTTCCCTCCTTCCCCGCATCCCCAGACTTTCCCCCGAGTTCTCCTCTGCCTCCCCCCCTTCCTCCCTGTGCGCCTCTCCCACCTTCTCTTTCTTGCTTCCTTCCCCGTTGTCTTCCCGCCGCCACCGCTCGTCCCTCATCCACTTTTTTTTT